TCGAATACTCAACAAAATGTATGTATATTTCTCATACATAAATACATTAGATATGTTTGATATATTTGATTTTTTTAATAGATTGAGAAAAAATCGGACTCGAACTCGCGACCGCAAAATGCCATGATGTAATAAGATTTATTATAATGATTTTAACATACTACAGACTAGTTCTACCGTGCGGTGATTTATACGGCACTGTATTCTTGTTTTTGTCCTTTGACAGGTATCGTATAAGTAGGAAACTGAAAATACACCTTTATAAAAATTCCTTGTCATGATATTTCTTTTTCTGCGAGTTTTTGTATAATCTATGTTTTATTTCGGGGTTACATTGACACGAAGTTTTTTTTAATCCATTAAGGCGGTTGCATTTATTTATGATTGCATTCTAATAGCTTTATCGTTAATGATAATGAATAAGATTTTACGTTCTTCATAGTAATCCCTTCGTCCTTTTCTCGAAAAACAAATTTTTTATATCCATATTTATATTATAAGCGAAGAGTTTGTTTGTACGTGCTAACTACAAAGAGGAACTTCGATTTAAAATATCATACTACATAATAAATCTAAGTAGACTTACAACTAAGTAATCCGTTGATATTATGCAGGAGCAAAGATTAACTGCAACATCGTTAATGGCTCTAAAGTGCTAACCTCAAAACAATGTCGACATTTCGTGTCATTAATTATTTTTTATGGATCCAATTAATGCAAATTTATATGCAGCTATCATTAATTTTATTGTTATCTGCTGTATTTTAGTACATCTTGAGTAAATGAGTTTTAATTGTACACTGTTTAAAACCGTGTTATTTTTTGTTTCTTCGTCGGTCACTTTATAATTGTTAGTAGTTAGTATTTAATTTTTTTATCAATATTATCTGAGACTTACAAATAACCGTGTAGGTCGTATAAAATATACGTACATAATTACTTTAACAGTATAAAGTAGTAAGAACGTAAATTTTTGTGTTCTTTATTTTTTAAAAGCTTGTGAAATAAGTAGATATTTTTATAGTTTAACTTACTAAATATATTTTTATATGAAATATTTTATTTCGCCAAAAAACTGTTATCAAAATAATACATAAAAATATAACGATCGATTAAAAATAAGCACTCGCAATTGAAAAAAAGAAAACGTATACACATAAGATTGTATGTACCCATATTATACTATCTATATATTTGACACTAACACATAACGGGATGGGAAACCACTGATATAAAGTTTGTAAGAAATAGAAAAGTGAAAGCCAACATCGTTTATTTTTTTTAAATCATACCCTAAATAAAAACAAATGAATAAAACATTTCGTATCACAGACTCGGTGAAAAGTGACGTATATGCTCTATCAACCTATTTACCCCTTAATTATTATTAATTTACTTGGTGTCGTGCTTCTCGAATGAAAATGACCATATCTTAAGCCTTGAGCATATCTTGATAAAAACGAAACAATTGACAGTGTTGCCTAATCGAATGCGTTTAAAAGCAACAGCATTTAAAACAATGCTATTAAACGAGTGTTATTCACATTAAAGATGTTAAAACGGCTTAATTGCTATATGTGCAACGCGATTATGCTATTTTTTTTTGTAATTTCAAGAAATTATATGCTTAAATGACGTTAATGAAGTTGATGCTGTAATAAGTTTTTTAACGATGACGTGATAATATCGATATTGCTAGTCGTAATTCAATGGACACTGTTTAATTGCCTGTCGGCCACAAAAACAGTCTTCATTAATTTAATGCCAATTAATTTTTGTATCTTGTAGACTGCTTTACATTTTTAATCTGTGGTATTGTCGGCCTATGGTAATTAAAATACCTGTTGAATAATTACGTTGTATGTATGTATGAATATTAGACTAAACTTTGTCACCCATTGTAATATTTTACAAGAACTACTAAGTCCTTATAATGAACAATATATGCATTTCCACCGAGTCTTAACGAACATAACAAAACTTTTTTGGTATTAAACGACCTACTGTTTCGTAACTCTTAAAATCTTTAAGGTCTTTTTTCAAGCAACAACTTATCTATTTATGAAGGACTATTATTTTTTGCTGTTTGTCAAGAACAAAACTTGAACATATTGACCTATAAGAACCTATAAGAGATTAAAATGTCAGCTCGTGTTGTCAAACAAACGGTAAAGCCAAATAAAAGGAACTCATTTTAAAACTTACATCATTTGTAAGGACCTAAAGAATTTAAATACTGTCTATAGTTTACGCGAGTAGTACACATTTAAATAAAACACTTTAACGGTTTAAAACGCGATATATTAGTTAAACTTATTTGAAACGGGGAGTCTCCCCGTGATCACGGCTGCTGCAAAGCATCCGAAACATCGGGCCGAAGTTAAAAATAATTTTCAAATAAGTTTAACTAATATATCGCGTTTTAAACCGTTAAAGTGTTTTATTTAAACCTAAAGAATTTGTTAATCTTTCACGATAAAACTGTTACACTGTCGTTTATAAAATTTCGTGTTAATATAGCTGGGATGATAAGTTTTATTATGACGATGATTTAAGGATGAGGGTTTTAATACTGGATTAGAACATTATAAATTCAGCCTTTAAAAATACAGGAAAAAGGCGGGAAACAGTTGATTTTTATCTGTATTTTGAATACGTTGTTTCTCGTATTAAATCATGTTAAGTGATACAATGCGTGGGCGTCCATCGTTCAAAACTAGACGCCCACGCATAAATATTTGAGCCATAGGTACCTGAATAGTTTTCATTATAATCGATTTAAAGTAGGCTATAAAATTATAAGTGGGTCTGTAACAGAAACCCGCTTTACGAACTAGTTTTTTAAAGAATCTGATATCTGTCATGTGAAGATGTGTATTATGATTTACGGACGTTATATGCACCTGCATAACTATACGCACTATGCATGCAAGCGAAATTACATGACAGAGGACTTTACACTACAAACATTAAAATTATATATAACAATAAGTCTTATAGTGGTTACCTTAAGCATCGTGATCTTGAGTTCAAATCCGGGGAATTCAGTCAAGAAGGACACAATGGTCTGACCGCGTACAGACTACGCATACGAGAAATATTGTATGGAAACATAATTATCTGGTTTTACTAGTTTTTTATTATTAATTTGACGAATATACCCAATCAAAAAAAATCGTAGTGGTATATAATATATATCTTCCGATAGCGATATAGAGGTATCCACATACTTAGAATGATAAATAAACATTACACGTTTAAAAATTAAACAATTAAATAATTGAAAATTAAATAAATGCTTATCTGTATTTTTATTTTGTTAAACCGCCGAAACGGTTGGGCGAATTTGGCTTTCACTCAGCTAATTTATACTGTATCCACTTATATTCTATAAATGAAGCTGCTGTTCATAATAAATCTAGTGCAACGGAAAGTTTTCTATATGTCTCTATCAATAGAAGACGAGAAAACGACTTTCATTAATAATCTGATATCTATAATTAATTGATAAATAGATAAGCCGCGCTTAGTAGAGATATTCCAGTAATATCTATAAAATTGTTAAAAATTCACGAGCTGTTTACAGAGTTTATTAATAATATTAAAATATAGATATTACTCATATTTGTACATCAAAATAACGTCTATAACAGACGCACGCATTTACCGTAACTTTGCCTAGTTAGCTAAACCGAGAACTGATACATATATAGTATATTTTTATAAATTGAAATAGGACATACCTTCATCAGCGCAAATCTCTGGTCATCGTCGATTCCAACGACCGCATTGGATGTAGGTGGCATTGTTTAACTTTGAAAACACGAATCTATAAACACAGAACGTTAACACAGAATACGTTAGCCCGCCGCGCGAGCTATAACACGAATAGTGACTAACTGTCAGCGGTTGTCGAGAGTTGAATATTTACGAATTACGACTTTATAGGAGAGCTTATCGATCGTTGCTCGGACACATCTCTAGACAACATATACTGATGTTATCAATTTCAATTCCTTTTTGATCCATGGCCGTCCAGAGGGAGCACGCGTTCGCAGGTCGTTATCAATTCACTGCAATGAAGTAAGTACATATCTCTATCATCGTTTAATTCACTCGAATCGTTATTATTATTGATTTTCTACATTTTTTCGCTCTATTCACGTCAACTTCGTTCTATTGATATAATAATTAAAGATTCAATTAAATTGTTTATTTAAATTCTCAACAATCAGGAAAAATCCTAAATAGGGTCTTGTCGCGTAACTTATCTTGATACGAACTGGATAACAACTATTATTCACTCACTTATAACAGTATATCAAGGTATTAATTCTAAAAAGACATCTGTTTTACGTAAATGTATGTACTGTGAATTTAATGCGAGATGTGGTCATTATAAATCCATATCATGGATCATGCGCAAAAGCTTTGTTCATGGCAAATGTCGCGGATCAGATATAAAGTTTTATCTTATAAGAATCTCTCGCTTCAAGATGTATATTATGTAGATTTATGCTCCTGATTGACGAAACATAATACGACGGCAAGATTAAATTGTGTCATTAATGGCTGTCAAATTTACATTAAAACTCCCTATAAGATATAAAAAGAATAATTAATATAACTTATTTAATTAAGGCAACAAAACCTGCTGTTGTATCCTTTAGTAAAAAACTGGATTTTTTTCCTAAGACTTTTTAGGTAGAAGGTGAATAGAGTATATTGTGTTGATGTTTTATATATATTAATTATAAATCATAAGTACAAATTACTTACCTTACAGTTTGCTTTCAACAACTTTTATAATATATTTTGCACATTACACAGAAAGTATACAGTATGAAAAAATACCTTTTTAAATTTTTATTTACTATTAAATTATCTAGGTGGTAATGAAATACAAAAACAAAACAAGAAAAATATTTATTTACATTTTTTGGATATCTCATAATATTACAATTTATGATAAAATGTCCATGATTTATAGTTTTATAGATTCATTTCATGACTGTAAATATAACTCCACCTCTCTCGTCCTCTTCATCGTGTACTTCCTTATCGCTGCCTTCAGGATCCGATTCGGAGGCAGAGTCATCATTGTCAACTTTAGATCTGTAATTTCCAAATTTACTTGTATCTTCTGGCAATTCAGGCATCTTTATTCCAGCCTTTGCTAATAATTTTTCTGCAGCATGTTGAGCTTCTATTTTCTTCAAGTGTGTATTATGTTCTTGTTGGAGTCTAAGAGATTCTTCTATTGTGAGAATTTTTGCTGGCCCATGCAGTATAGGGGGCGGAGTAGCCGCAGTTACTTCCCAGTGTTTATGTTTTTTTCTTTGAATTTCCTTTTCTGGTTTGTGCACATCAGATGTAGTTGTTTTATAAGGTTTAAACTTTCCTGTGCTTTTAGCGTGAGTGTTGTGTTCAGTTTTCTCCACTATATACTTGATATGGGGTATTTCACCAATATCTAGAAGATCTTGTGGTGTTACTAATAGTTTCTCTGACTTCAGAATCTTGACTTTCCGTTCCCCTGACTGTTTTTGGGTTAAAACATGAAGTACATCTTCAGGCTCACTGTCATCATCAGAGTCTAGATATGTGTTGTGATTTTGTGCTACCTTCCCTTCCCATTCAACGTCTTGGACACAATTTTTATCAATTGTTTCCAATTTCATATTGTTGAATAAATTACAAGTTTGTTCCTCTTCCTGTTTTGATCTTATTTCGATGGATATTCTGTCATGTAAAGACTGGATTTTAGCTCCGTTATCCGGTAATTTGTTCACAAAGGACTTATTGTTCAGTAATTTTAGTTGCCGCTCAAGCAATTCAAGTAGCTCTGGTAAAGTTTTATTCGACAAATTCGTTATTTTACCATCTATCTCACTTTTTGGCGGCGGAGGCAAAACTCCGGGTATCTTCTTGTTAACAGTTTTCTTTAACATACTCAACACTGTCATAATACAAGATTCGTATATATAGTTTGAATTTCAAGTGTGTTTCCTATGTATTATTTAACAAGTAAAGAATCCAATAAATGAGAAATAAAAATATTTATTCATACACATTTCCAATACCAATTGACAAATTATACTGTAGTGTGACACAAATACAATGACAGTGACATATAGTGCTGCTCTATAAAAGTTTTGAATTGGCTTTGTTAAAATAAGATCTAGTTCAGTAATTATAATTATATTTTTAATGTGTGACTAAAATACTATATTGCGTTTTACTTTTATTTATACTTATGTATACCTTTATGCAATAATCTATGGCTAAAGCATTATCTACGTTTGTCCCTTCAGTCTGACGTTTATATAGTCTATATTTCCTATATTGCATGAATCAATAAATTTTGTCTGGCGGAGCTATTTTATTGTTTGCGCATGTCCGAATGTATTGATTAGTGATTACCTTATTTCGAGAAGCAGTACCTGGGAATCGCGATATTCGTCAATATACCTCGACAGACACAAGGGTCTTCGCCAAGTGGTTAAATATTAAGTTTATTGTTGATGTGTTTAGTCTAAAGTTATCTATATGGACATCCGCAGCAGATATTATTGTTGTCATCTTGTAGATACTTGATCAGTTTCTAGATACTTCGTATCTGTAACTAGTGCTCGAAGATGGATAGCATCACGGTAATAAATGTTGATCATCTATCTGTCATATTTGTTTCTTTTATATCTCTAATCTATGCTTGCAACTTTTGTTATTGAATTATAATGTATCTTAAATACATAATTTTATTTATAGGTACCACTACACTTGGATCCTGTCCAGCAAAGTGAAGTCTGTGAGAAGAGGCTGTGGATAGGAAATTTAGACACAAGAGTTAATGAGTATGTTTTACTTTACTTGATTTTGACCACTTTTACATAAACTTGTGGCATTTATATATTGTAATGCAATTATAATATGTCTTTTTGTAATCTTACCACGCTCTTGACAATTTGTCTCAACTCTAATATGATGCTACTGCAATTGTTGTAGGCCTTTTATTTTGTAGTCTACCTAAGCAGGTAGAGCAATAAAAAATCTTGTTATTTTTTTATTAAAGCACTTAAACTAAAAAAGAATTATTCTGTTTTAGTTACAAAGCTACAGATGTTTTATTGGTTAGTTAGATTAACAATATTTATTCAAATCGTCGTTGAATTTCTAATACCACATAAGTCAAAAATAGCAACTTGGCAATATATTTCCTTTACCTTTTTCTTTGAGTCAATCATAGCTTTGAAAAATCAGCAAGAAGATAAAAAAGAACCCCAGTCTTTAGGAGGGGGTGTGAGATCGCACATCATTCAGTATTGTGCAATCTCACATCCCCTCCTGGGGAATGGGGTAATTAAGCATCAATTCCAGATCCATACAGGTAAGCCAACTTGGTGCCATCACGTAACACATACCCCAGATAGAAATATATCATTTACAATTGTGCTGAGGTTGCTAATCGCTGGAGACAATTAAATTCCATTTTATTAAACAATACCTTCTTTCTATTACCGGTATCAATTATTGAAAATGGTCCGCGTGTATGGCAACATTGAGAAGTTGGATATGCTGTTTCACCGTAGTGGACCTAATGCGGGGCAGCCGAGAGGATTTGCCTTTGTCACTTACAAGCTGAGACAAGACGCTCTACAGGCCATGAACTCTCTGAACGGACAGCTCTTAGGAAACAAGAGGATATGTGTTAAATTTGCCAAGAATGCTTCGGTAATCAATTTTACTTATTAATATGATATTTTAGTTGTTTTAGACTTGCTTCTATAATTAAATTAAAGATGGAAATTTCAATCTACTCTATTTCATAATTATAGTATAGCGGAAAGTTTCTTTCCAAAATGTGTATGAGTAGTGAATGTAAATTGACAATTTTAAATATTTTTTTGATAAACATATATCATTTTAACTAATAAATAATCATTCTTTTAAGGAGGATCAAGAAAAACCAAAACCGGAACTTGGGATACCAGCATTAACAGCAGGAAAACCAGAATTAAAACTTAGCAAGAAAACAGCCATCCAAACGATAGAAGCTAAATTGAAAATGCTGGAAAATATGAAGGCAGGAGACGATTTTGTTATAAACAAATTGGCAGCTAATGAAGCACCAGTAATAACCCAATACCAGCAAAGACAACAACCAAACAAAACAATAAGTTCTTTTAAACGGAGGCACCCTTATCATAGAAAGAGATAATTTATACAAAAAATATTAGGGTCAAGTATGTGTTCATTTGTTATAAAATTAGGTAGATAGGGCAAAATAAATTTTAAAACTTGCAACATTAACTAACTCCAAATAAAATATGACAATAAACAAGAGGCAAAAAATACTTATTTCTTCCGTTTAATTGTGTTATCTTAAAATAAACTGCTGATTGTAGGTTGTCATAAAACTTTTGTAAATTAATAACGGTTCTTAAGAGTACAGTTCATGTGGGTAGTTTTGGATACACACTTAAGAAATTGGTATGTAAAATTTAATGATCATGTTAAGACACACTTTTTTTTAATTAATAATTTTTTAAGTTATATAAGTATATTGCAATTATTACCCCTACTAAGTACTGGCCCTAATGTTTGTCCACCATTAGAATAAGTAAAAAATGTTGACTCAGTCTATATTAGTTCTCAAAGCAGTATTATAACTATACTAAAAATAATGTGTTTACTTTATAAACAATTAATAAAAGTATTACTTAAAAAGTTTGTTTTAGAAATTAGTAATTTTCTCCGAGTGTAAAAAATGTTTTTCCTGTTTAGTGTGGTACTAAATTCTACTTAAATGGTTTAATTGAGAAAAAAGAAACACTGCAAGGTGATTGAGAGAGACATTCTGTTAATAACACCATAGTAAAATGGTGTAAAAAAGAATACCAGTAAAAGTCAACTTCTATGGTTATATGTTCATCAATTCTTTGCACAAACTATTTATTGGAAAATTAGCTTTATAGATATATTTTTCATTGATTACAGTGTTCAATAGAGTCGTAATGTCAACAGTTACCGTTAGTAAAATATTTTTAAGTAGCCTAGTTTTATTGTATAGTAACAATTATGACTAAAATAAAAGGATTGTTTATTTAAATATAGTTTATTTTACTTTGTATAGAAAGCGCTGAGGCCCTTCCTGCACGAGATAGTATAGACTGTATCTATACTAATATAATTTTTTACAAAAGTTCATAAAGATCATGGATCAATATTGGTAATGTGGTCTCTTATAAAACAATATGAATTCTATAGTTTGTATGAAAAATTAAAATGGTTCCTACCAATGTGTTAATAAATACTAAATATTTGAATTATAAATAGGTATCATTTATATGATCTGGAATTCATTCATACTACATATATAACACTTTCATTATAACATCCTTTGTAGTTATATACAACATTTTAGACATAGTTGGCGTCACAGAGTATAATGCAAAGAGAATCCATCCAAAAATTTACTGCAAATTATCTGTTAATCCAGAGATTTTTATACATATAATGAAATCGACGTTTATACAAGTCGCACAAGTCAAAGGCAGTCAGGCCTTCGACTTGTGTCATTATTTCTAGTTGAGATAGGTTGCAAAACTGTATCTTCTACTCTTATTAAAAATATGGGTGTCATTACGACATATCTCTCATAAACAATTGTTTGTTTCTTTCATTCATGTTCTATATAACAGAGTCATAAGTAAATTACATAACAATAGTCTCACTGGATTTGAACCCTGGGGTGATACAATTTGATAAGGAACTGGATAATCTTTGCCTAGGAGTGGGTGCTACTTGTAAAAAGTCATCATCTTCATCAAGTTTTCTTTTTCGGCTTGAGTACTGTGTATCATCATCACCTTCCTTCAGCCAGTCACTGTACTCTATGCATAGCGGCCATATTGTTTTGCCTGATCTGCAACAAACAATTAAAATTACGTATTAAATAAAGTTTCATCCGCCCTAATTGATATAATTATTAAATAGAACACTTTAACGGTTTAAAATACGAAATATATTTGTTAAACTTATTTGAAAATTATTTTTATTAGTGCCCGATATTGCTGCAAAGCATTCGAATCATGTTTTAAACCACCAAAATGTTTTATTTTAATGTGTACTTCTTGCTTAAACTACAGACAGAATTATTTTGTTCTAGTTTAAGGAAGGATAGTTTGGATTAACCTGTTGTGAAAGCTATTAACTAAAATAATTACTGAACAAAGTCGTGCTCAAGACAACTGGTGATTAACAAAAAGTACTATATTGATATCACAAAAAAAGCTTAACTACTAACTACTCACTTCGGTAACGTATAAGGATCGTAAGGAAACCATTCATCATACTCCACGCTATTATGTATAGAATATCTTGCATTCTTCTCGATAATGGCCTGACAATAGACAACCTGGTGAGATCTGGTCACAGAGGAGAATGCTCTGGTCACTTGAGGTGGACAGGTCCGAAGTGGGTTTAATGGACAAGTAACTAGTCTTGCTAAGTTGAGGGATTCTATGAAGTTAAAACCTGAAAAAAAAAAATATATTATTATTGTATTTGTCTCTACTAATATTATAAAGAGGAAAGATTTGTATTTTTGTATGTAACAGATAAACTCAAAAAGTACTGGACCGATTTTAATAATTCTTTTTTCATTAGAAAGCTACATTATCACTGAGTAACATAGGCTATTTAGTACTTGATTACTATAGGCATCTATAGAAATTCTTAAAAATCCAACGGAAGGCGTTAAAAAATTAGCCGTAAAATGTCTTTCTTCATATACGCTGCGAAAAGTATTAATGATAGGACAAAAAAATGTTCGGCAATATTATAGAATATATCAATAAAAGTAAAACTAAAAACATCGCAAGAGCGTATGTAACTGTTATAGTTACGTCGCTATAACTCCTTTTTTACATTTAACAAATTGATAGAAATGCCGATCAAAATCAGACCGTGTTATCCATACCGTTTATAAATTTTTATCCAAATAAATAATTAAATATTCAAGACTGTTCAATATCTGATGATTACTTTTTTAATTATTGAAATCGGACATTCCATTCAAAAGATATCACGAAGTTAAAATGAATAGAGCTAGGAATTCGCGAACGCGAACCGAATTAATGTCATCTGTAAACTCACCTTCTTTATTCCTAAATAGATGATTATGCTTGAAGGCAACCAAATAAAATATTGCATGACACACCGCATGAAAGACACTATGAACTTTTGTGTTGTCGTGCGATGACGTTTCTTGTGTAGCTATAATGTATCTGAAATTTTTCATAAGTATAAATAGTATTGGTTCTAGTTTGAGCCAGTAAAATCAATTAAAATAAAAAAGGCTTTGAGGCACAATAAAAAAGGAAATCTTTACTACATTCATTCATTGTTTGACATTGCAAACATTTAAAAGCTTTCAGCCATTAAAACAATATAATTTACCCATGACACCAGTCCGACATCGTCTTCAAATAGTGCACCAGTCTTGAATTAGGTATGCGTTTACACCGAGCTAGTAACCCTGCGAGGTGGCTGATAGCCGTCTTCCGAGTAGTTAAGGCACCAGGCCCCACACCGTGTATGCCAGCTGTTATTGTCCATAGGTTGGTGAAGATTCTATCTGCGCATTGTTGATTTATTGATATTGTATATAACAAAAGAAATTGGACGTATCTGAAATTAAAATATTATAATGAGAAGAATATTCATAAGATACACTTCTCAAGCAAAGGATTTACAGTTGACATAATGATGGGTTAATTTTTCTTACTCTTTTAAAGGAACTATAAAAAGCTTTAAATTTTATAGAATAGAATTGCACATACTTCATAATATTGTGTAATCTTTTTTGTCAATATACATGACTCGGCTTGTGACTTATCAATTACCACACTTTTTGTCATAACACTTTGCAATGATAATTATTGTGCAATTTTTAATTTTAATTAACACTTTTTAGGCCCCTGTTGCCATTGGTATGTGACGATTTAAATACTTAACAGCCACTGTTAAGCATTCAAATTGTCGAGTCATAGGTAGAATTACATTAAGTTGATTTATATGTTGATTGTGTTTTAAACTGTTAAAAGTGTTTTATTGCACACACATACAATAGAAACCATGTTTACAAAACAATTAATGCTTTATAATAATCGTTAAAAACATACCTTATACCATAAGTTCTAAGTATAATCCTCTCAAAAACATTACAGAATATAAGTAGGACTGTTTCTCGCTCATCTTCTAACCATTTTAATACTTCTAGCATACAATAATCCAATGTTTCGCTTGTCTCTTCGTTTGCATTGTCTATTTTTTGTGCTGTTTTATCTTTTCCATCCACTATGTTGACATCCATTTCTATCATTCTGAAATTGTCAAACTTAGGTTAGAAATGTTTAAACAAGAATTTGAAAACCACTGCCACTTATATAAAAAGAGACTTGGTGTACTTAAGACCTGCCTATTACTTAATAGGATAGCAACACATTTTTATTATGCTGAACTCTACTTCAGGATCCTTCTTGTTTCAGTGTGGAAAAAAATACATATATGCTTAATAATAAGTGGCTTCTTTGTGAACAAGTATTAGGATAACAGTAAAAGAATCTTACCTATGTATAATTGTGTACATAATTTGTTCCTTAAGAGCAGGTATATACCTAGTGATCCAAATAAGGTTGTGTATGTACGCTCTGTTAGCATAAGAACCCGCTTTATAGTATGGAAAATTCTCCATCACTGTAGGCATTAGGATGTTACTGGACCTGTAGATATGAAAATATCACAATAATTAGTTCCATTAAACAATATAGAAGGATTGATTTATTAACTATGGAATTCTTATACAAGACCTTTTGCACCTACAACAACACTTATGGTTCTAAATAACTAGAACAAATCAGATCAGATTAGGTTTTTAGAAGACTTAAAGCTATTCAAGTTAAATTATTTATTCTAAGACTATAAACAAGGCTTGAATTACTAAGTAATTATTTTATAGCTATACAAGCTAATGCTGTAGAGTTAAGATGGGTCTCTGATTCAACTTACATTGGTATTAATGAGACAATCTGTGCAATTAAAGAGTGGATGTGAGACCATTGCCTCAATTGGTCATCCGAGGGTTGATCATCCCATTTCTCACCTTCATCTGAAATAAAAATAACATGAGTGACGTAATTGTTCTTTAAAACTGAAATCTGAACTTAAATACACAGTTACATTTAATACAGCTTAAAATGCCTCACCTTTGAATAGATTAACAAGTGCGGTCATAACCTTTTGGCAGTGGTAAGTATGAGTTACAACCAGATTTATTATGAATTTACTATAAACATCTACCAACTCCGGCCCCCGATTGATCCACTCTATCCCACACAATAGCTCAACAAATAATTTCCAATCGTTTTTGAAGTAAACAACACAGGATAGACAGTCCTCAAAAAGGATTTTGAAATTTCTATCAGATATTTGTTTATCCTTTAATAAATTCAAAAGCTCGTTATATGGACCATACTTTCCATCGTTCGCATAATCGACAATCACTTGTTCTATTTGTTTCTTTTTAAAACTAACTTTCATACGAGAAACAGCAGCTTGTCGATCTAATGTTTTACGCATAAGAAACTCGGCACTTTTGCGCGCGGCTGTGGCCATTTTATTTTTTTAAATCAGCTGATAGTGTCTTTAGAAATGCTATGACTTCAGGCTGGCGGAGCAGCTCAGCCTTCTTGTGATTTAGAACGTCACGAAGCACGTTGCTGCTGTTATCTTCTATGGTCGGAACCGCTGAAGTTTCTTCAAAGACCAAACCTATATTTGGCTTGCTGTAGATGACACTGGACTCAGACGATTCACTAACTCTCTTATCCTTTAAATAAGACTGTAAGCGCTCTAAAACAACTTTACTTTCACCCTCTTTCTTTTCGGTAGTATAACCTTCTTTGGACATCGCACAGAGATCTTACATCTTATTCTTTCTGAGATGTGTCGTTATTTAGTACTTTCACTTTACTTGGACAATGATATAGAAACTAACAATACAATAACAATTGATATCCTATTTTATTATTACTTAAAATTATTAAACACGTGCTTAACTTCTATTTCTAAATGCGCGTAATATAATATATTATTGACACTTTACATATGACATTACATCAACATTCAATTCTTATTAAGCAGAAAAAAAAACAATATGTTATGTTTTGACAGACAACATGTTTCATGAATCTAAATCAATATAATTGTATTAAATTGCGTGCTTTCAATGATAAAGTATGCATTTCTTAGAAGTTTCGAATCCGCTATTACAGATGAATTGAATTAGGCGCAAAATATAATTCCAATGTCTATTTCAACAACCTAAAACCAATCGTATACTCGGTACTCTATGGTTTTATTGTATTGTAAGGCTGTAGTTATTTTTTATCTGTGCTGTCGTAGAAATCTGACATTTTGTCTAGCCTATTTCTCATTCTCATTTATTATATTTTTCTCAATGAGTTTGGGAGGGGTGGAATGTGTGTGTTCTGTGTATGTTTAATTACAGACTTTTGTAAAACGTATAGATGATTTTATTTTACATATACTAAGTGACAATGTGTATCATGTTAACTGTGAACCTATGTAGTAGTGTAATAAAGGCGTGTTAATTTTTTTCGTACGAGTTTCGATAATCATGCAAAATGGCCAACGATTTCTGGTCATGTACCTGTTGTACGGAGGCTTTGACGTGTTGGCTGCGCCTAAAACTATCTCCGGAGGAGATAGAGCAGCGGTACAGAAGCAAGGAAATCGACAGAATACTTGAGAAGGACAAACAAACGCTTCGGCGACAGGTCAAACTGTTGCTACTGGGCGCAGGTGAAAGCGGAAAATCGACATTCCTGAAACAAATGAAAATAATACACAAAGTGAAGTTCGAGCCGGATCTAGTGCGCGAGTACCAGCATGTGATTTACCAGAACATTGTGAAGGGTATACAGGTGTTAGTGGACGCGCGGGATAAACTCGCAATTCCCTGGGAGAACCCGAGGAATTTGGACATTGGCCAGCAGGCTTTGCACTTCAACAGTTCAGCATCGCTCGACAGTAGACTGTTCATGCATTATGCACCCCATATCCACTCACTGTGGTTAGACAGAGCCATAAAAAGAGCTTATGACAGGCGGAGAGAATTTCAATTGGTATGTATTGTCTAATATTTGTTATGTAAACAATGTAACTGCTTTGTGTACTTGTGAGGTGGTATTTGCTTAATAACTTTCCTTTAGCTATAAGTCATCAGTTATTTGTTGATTAGAATATAAAAGTTAAAAACATAATAGGAATTAATTGTCTATTTATAATATATAATTACTTTTATAATCTTTTTTAATTTATAGCTGATGCTAATGAATGAATATAATGTGATTGTTTTTAGAAAATCATTTAAAACATGACATATTTTTTTTATAAACACCATATACCTATTTGGGTGGACTACCTATATGTAAAGTCAATTTTTAAAAAGATTACCATTAAACCTCAAGGGAATAGTATTGTTCAGATTTAAATAAATCACTTTAACGGTTTAAAACGCGATATATTAGTTAACCTTATTTGAAAATGATTTTTACTTCGGCCCGATGTTTCAGATGCTTTGCAGCAGCCATGGTCACGGGGGGAATGACTGACTGACTGTCTCCCCGTGACCATGGCTGCTGTAAAGCATCCGAAACGTCGGGCCGAAGTAAGTTTGACTAATATATCAAGTTTTAAACAACGGTTTTAAACAAGTGTTTTATTCAAATGTGTACTACTCGCGTAAACTATAGACAGTATTTAGTATTGTTCAGATTGAAATCTGAACTTAATAGTACAATTGGTTATTTTAACTTGGTCATGATTACCTATCATTCTTGGCCATTATTGGCAAAGATTAATACTAAAAAGTAATATTTAATATGGGTTCCTCTCATTTACTTAATTTAGCAGAAATTCAGGGTTAAACAATAATTAACACTATTCAAAGTGTTTTTATTACACACATTATTCATTTGTCTTATTATTGGGTGTAAATTTGTTTATGACAATTTAATTATTTCTTTCCATAACACAAATCTTAATAAAATTTTAGTTAAAGTATTAACTGTGTGTTTGGCTAAACATTTAATGTTTGTTGCCAATAAAGACATGTGTCATTATGTTGTCAATTTACTAAAGTACTATATAAATGTGTACTTCTTTGATACAATATTGTAAATAGCATCATACTGGCATAGCATCAAGTATTTCTATGGTAGAGGAGGATTGACAAGCATGGGTTCCATTTGATAGAAGGTGGAATAGCCAGGCATATAATGTCTCAACAAGATGAGCTTTTGAAATATTTTCGGCATTTGCAGAAAGGTAATTTGTTGTATTACACTGCGTCCATATTGTATTGGTTTATATGCTACCATTATAATAGGAAAATAGGTAGTTTGTTTTTAAAGCAAAACGGAAGTATTGTTACAAAATTAAAATTTTTCAACATTGTGATACAAACGTAATAAAATGAATAATTCATAATTGAGTTTCTTATCTTATTTGATTAGTCATAAATATGTTGCGTCACGCTTTACGCTACAATGATTTGTATGTATGCTCACACTGCTGATTTTTGTTCATTCAATTTATACTATTAGTTTCATATATATTTGTCTTTTATAATATGATCTATGACCACTTCAATGCACGGGTGGCGTTTGGTTCAAATATATATGTAACATAACTTCAGTTGGGCAGTATATATTAACTGTCTGGTCAACAACTTACCACTGAATCAAATCTTTTTTGGTTGTTCGTGCCATATAAATGTTTTACTCTCGTCATCTGTATTGCAATGGTTTGTGTATGTGCATGAATATGTGAAATAAGGGTCTTATGTCAATAGATGACCACTACAACATTTGTACCAACAACAAACAACATGCGTCCGAAATGACGATAGTATTATTTATATAGCAACATTTGTAAATCGAATACTCGAAATAATGGCAGACGGCGTCACTCCGTTATTAGATATGTTCCGGTCTAATGGCACACATACATTAGACACATCTCGGCGAGCGGCCGCTATTTCTCCCATATTTAACATTCCATTTTAATGCGATCGCGACGTAATGTGGTTTTACTTTTAACAAATGAACAAAAAAAACCCATTCATAAAGAAGGTGTTCAAATATATTGGTTTAATTTATAATTTTATTATTACTAGCTGTGTCCGCGAATAATAGCGTATATATTATAATAGCTGTGTCAGCAACTTCATCTGCGTAGAATAGTTATTTTGGGCATCCAAGATTGTTTTTGCAAACTTCTTCTTTATCTTCATATTTAAGCTGTTGCCCACGACGTGGGTCGCGTCCCGTCGTTCTCGCAAGTTAATCTTACAAGATAGATGTAGTGCCATGGACATGTGTTTAGATCATTTAAAGAGGAATTTTGTGTATCTTTGACCGTTTTCTGAGAAACGCATCGGAAACCTACAAAGGTGATTATTTTGTTCCCTTATGTCCACATTTCCCGTTGTTTCTTCGCTACCATTAGTCGCACCGTTTTATAGCGTTATAAAGCCTTCCTCGATACATGCTCTAATACAAAAAGAATTTCATTTCAATTCGAAGCAGTTCCTGAGATTAGCGCGCTCAAACATACAAACAAACAAACTCGTAAGCTATATATATTAGTATATGTATATAAATCTGTGATTTATAGTATACTAGCTGTGCCAGCGACATCGTCCGCAAAAATTCAAATTAGGTTTTGCAAACCCCATCATCTTTATAAACTTAAGCTGTTAGCCACGATGTCAATCGCATCCCTTCCCATCGTTCTTGCAAGTTAATCTTAAAAGATAGACAGACATATAGCGTCGCAGACATTTTTTAGATCATTTATAGAGGAATCATTCTATCGTAGACATTTTTAGATATGTTGAATCGTTTTCGTAGCGTACGCAACTGAAACACACAGAGATGAAAAAATTTCCCCGTTTTGTTCACATTTCTCGCTGTATATTCGCTCCTATTACTCACAATGTTATATAGCCTGTAACCTTCCTCGATAAATGCTCTAACAAACACAAAAAGAATTTTCAAACAAACAAACAAACTCTTCAGATGTATATGTATAATAGTATAGATTTAAAATTAGTATACGACTTGTAGTCTTAGATAGTCTTAATTGAGAACAACTTACAATGAGAACTCAATTTGAGTATCCTATATCCCGCTCGTACGTACGCCAGTAACGAGCTAGGTTTACAATAATTGAGGTCGTAAGAAGCATAAAGTTAATAATCTACGCTTCATAAATAGTCATTAGCTGTCTGTGATGTTGCCGGCTGTTAGACTGTTTAGAGTCTAATCATTCGCGAAACTTACTGGAGCCGACCTATTAAGCTGTTGTGCGAACATTAATTAGCGTAGTGAAAATTGAGCGAGTTCCGAAAACTAATAAATCCGGAATCTTGGGAAATTTTCGACTGAAAAACCTGGGGTCTTGTTAAGGTAAATAAAACTAATATATCGCGTTTTAAACCGTTATTTTTCGTGTATACTAAAAATAAACCAGTTGCATGAGCTGGGCTACACTTAATTCAATTTTTCATTAAAACATGATAAGACAGGGGGAGACCCAATTTTTCCCAAAAGCTTGTATTATACACAGTTGAGTTTCAAACAAATTTGAGCTGTTCTCAAAATGTATTTTTCTGGCATATGCAGATTTATACACACAGTATACACATTTCGCACTAGACATAACAAACTATGTCTAGTGCGAAATGTGTATACTTTTTATGTCAGAGGACAGACAGTAATATCTGTGCTGCTATATATATATATATATATATATGTTATACGCTGTGGAAATTCAGAAATTCTTTAACTAAAACTGTACTTTGTAGTAGTGTATTTGTAGGTTATTCAGTTAGTATGTATTTCGCAAAAGTTACGATGAACTGAATTCAGTATTAATAGTTAATTGAGGCCATTTGTATCTAAGTAATTGGAATCTAGGATATACATTCAGACATTCCGAACGCATAGGCTGTTGATATTCTTGGAATTAGTTGAATTTATTATGAGAAATATTCAACTTTTTCATAGAGCTTTAATTATAGATTTCGAACAAGGTTACGGTTTGTCTGCTTTCTTTTCGTATCTTTATTAAAATTACGGTAATGCAATCGTTTCAAAAAATCTGAGTACACAACTCCTCTCTTATCTTAGGAGTCCAGAGCTTCGACCCACCACGCAGTTCTAATGTAGCTTGATGAATTCGTGAAAACTGGGGCCTACGGTTCCGGAGCTCGGCAAGGCACCTGCCATTTTCAACTGCGAGTTAATAAGCGAAGTACAGTCTTAGAAAAATCCAAATCTAATATACTTACAAAATTCTCGTGTCACAGTTTTCGTTGCCATACTCCTCCGAAACGGCTTGACCGATTTTGATGAAATTTTTTGTGCTTATCCGGTATCTATCAGAATAGGCCAACATCTATTTTTCATCCCCCTAAATGTTAGGGCTAATTTTTTTTTTTACAAAAATTTTAATTTCTATTTTTTTATGATACATAATACAAATGATACAAAAATACATACAATCCTCAATTTTCACCCTTCTACGATCAACCCTTATTTTTTAATAGCCATTTTAGTAAAATTATTTATATGGCAAAACAACGTTTGCCGGGTCAGCTAGTAACGTATAGAATTTTCGCTTAAAACGGGACTTTCCCGAGATCTTGTGTGTTGTCAACTGCTCTTGCCACTTAAACAACAAAAACTCACAAGTCTTGTGTTGTATCTTTGAGTGACACAGACATATTACTGTGTTGTCTTAGACACTACACACAAGTGAGCAATATAATATTTAAATATAATAGAATATGTGTAGACGTCTTATCATCTGTATAACAGCATTCAATTCTTATTTGCTCTATATGAATATGCATGTTTTTTGTAATGACTGAGTCACGTAGTAATTCGGTTCATATTTTCCTTAAACTTCCACGTTTTAAAACCGGTTCGTTCAGCAGTAATTTTTAGTGGTGTACGCCTATGAGGTTGATGGGTTTACAAGCTCGTTAAACTAAGACAAATGTAAATATGAAGAAATGTAATTTATTATGTCGTACGTATCTATATTCGCGACAACT